CTCCACTGTTCTGTGAACTCTCAGTGAGCATGATCCTTCCTAACTTCTCCACTGAGGCACTCTGGTGCTGAAAACAAGAACAGGCCCAGTGTAAGTGCTTAATAAGTATTCATTGAGCAAACAGATGAATCCAAACATCCTCAGTGTTCCCATTGATTGAACTTCTAAGTAATATTGTCGATGTTGTTTGGTCTCTAAGTTGTGTCTGACTCTTTTGCAACCCCATGGACTGTAGCCCACTAGGCTCCTCTGTCCATGGGGATTTCCCAGGCAAAAATACTGGAGTGGGTAGCCATATCCTCCTCCAGGGGATCTTCCCAACCTAGGGATCAAACCTGCATCTCTTGCATTAGCAAGCGGATTCCTTACCGCTAAGGCACCAGGGAAGTCCAAGTAATGTTGTAAATATGTCTCTTCTATGAACCTGTCCTAGAAGAAGTCCATTTCCCACTTCATTCATCTCTAAGTTCCAGAATCTCTCGACCATCTCCAAAGTGTCATCTGGCATTCTGTTTCAAAGGAAGGAAGGCTCAGGTTGCAAGGGTACTTTAAATGCATGTACCTGGGAGGCCTGGCACAGTGGGACAGGTGTCAGTCTAGGAAAAGTCATGGTATCAGCTCCCCTGTGAATGGAGGGAAAAGGTCAAAGCACCATTGGAGGGACTTCCCTAGTGGTCCAGTAGTTAAGAATCTGCCTTGCAATGCAGGAGATGCGAGTTCAATCCCTGGTCAGGGAACTAAAAGCCCACATGCCGTGGAGCAACGAAGCCCACTCTCTACAACTACTGAGCTCATGCACCACAACTAGAGAGTCCAAGTACTGCAACAAAATATCCTCATGAAGCAATGAAGATCCTGTGTGCTGCCGCTAAGACCCAAAACCATCAAATAAATAAATATATTTTTTTAAAAAGCTCCATTTGATGGATGGGTGTGAAAGCAACCATACCAGATCCAAGCTGGTGTGGGGAAAAAAGTCATATTTCAAGGATAGGAAGATGAGAACCTGGTTCCACCACTGACCTGCAGGTTTTGGCCAAGTTTCCTTAATCTACTCTCAGTTTTCCATCTATGGAGTGGCCATAATTCACTGCTCTCCCTGGTTTAAAGCAAAAAGTAGGTAGTAAATAGATGTCAGCTCCTCTCTTATTAAGGATTGGAAGCCCCACATTGCTGCTACTGGCCACCTTGCTGGCCTTATGAGCCACAATATTCAGGAAGAAGGGAAGAGACAGGTGGTCTGTGTTCTTGCTCCAGATGTTCAGAAAACTCAGTTTGCCTGTTTTCAAAATGGAGAAGGGGCCGGTGAGGGGGTGGGAGTGGGAGGATTATAAAGCAGCACAAGGAAACTTTGGGAGATGGTGGCTATGTGTGGTGATGCTTCTCTGGTGTATATTGTTGTCAAACCTTACCACACTGCATGTTTATATGTGTGCAGTTTATTGTATGTCAGTTATCCATCGATGAAACTTTATTTTAATGGAGATAATGATACCCATGTATCCCCATTTGGCACATAGAACAAGCCCAAATGTGGTTGTGGATAAGAGGACATTTGAGAAGGAAGTACCAATACCCACAGCAGTTCTGCTATTCTGGGCCCTCACCAGCACAAGACCCACAGGCTGGGAGTGCAGCTGGGAGCAGGTGTTCTGGAACAAGATCACCCCATCTGTGAGCAGGCTCCTCTTCCACAAGTTGGATAAACAAGCCTGTCCAACCCACCAGGCAAGGCTGTGGGGTCAATTGAGGAACAAACAGTGGCCTGAGGCAGGGCTTGGGATTGAGTCTCTTTCAACATCAGCAGTATTCTGTATTCAAGGACTTCACGGAGTAGATCCCACCTTGGGCTTCTAGAAATAGTCAAGGACTTGGATGAAAAATGAAGCCTCCTGAGAGGAAATGAAGGCTCCTGACAGACTTTATCTTCTTGGGCTTCAAAATCACTGCAGATGGCGACTGCAGCCATGAAATTAAAAGACACTTGCTTCTTGGAAGAAAAGCTATGACAAACCTAGACAGTATATTAAAAAGCAGAGACATCACTTTTTCAACAAATGTCCATCTAGCCAAAGCTATGGCTTTTCCAGTAGTCATGTATGGATGCCATAAAGAAAGCTGAGCACTGAAGAATTGATGCTTTTAAACTGTGCTATTGAAGTAGACTCTTAAGAGTCCCTTGGACTGCAAGGAGATCCAACCAGTCCATCCTAAAGGAAATCAACCCTGAATACTCATTGGAAGGACTGATGCTGAAGCTGAAGCTCCCGCACTTCAGCCATTTGGTGTGAAGAACTGACTCATTTGAAAAAGACCCTGATGCTGGGAAAGATTGAAGACAGAAGAAGGGGATGACAGAGGATGAGATGGTTGGATGGCATCACCGACTCAATGGACATGAGTTTGAGCAAGCCCCAGGAGTTGGTGATGGACAGGGAAGCCTGCTGTGCTGCTGTCTAGGGGGTCACAAAAAGTTGAACATGACTGAGTGACTGAACTGACTGACTGAGAAGAATTCTGTTAATTCCTTCAACAGAACAATGAAACAAGACTTCTGGGCCTTAGCAGCTATAGGATTTTCCAGATAAACAGCAATCCCCACACGTGGACATTCCACATCTTCTTGGCCAAGTGGAGGTCCTCGGTGTTTCCAGGTTGCTTCTGTTCAAAGTCCTCCCTTGAGCCTCTTGATAATCCATCCTGTGAGTGACTCCTTCTCAGAGCCACCCATATGGAGCTACCCTCAAAAGGGAACTAATGCAGGTGCCTATAAGAGACAAGAGGTTAAAACATGCATCCAGGAGGAGAAAGGTGGCAGACCATCCCACATTCCTTACCCCACATCTTCCCACATTTCCCCACAGACAATATTCTTTTCATTGCTCACCACCAGGCTCCCCATTACATTCCAGTCTCTATGATTCCTCCTTTCATGTCAACCACATACTACTGTGGGTCCTAGAATTCCATGAGCAAGCAGGGAAGCTGGACACCAGGAATAATGGAAGAGATTAGTCATCTCTAAGGGGAAGTGGGGAGTTAGTCTTGCATGACCCCAGCTCCACACTGAAAAACAGGAGTCCAGGTTACACCAGTCAAAGGGAGGAAAAGAAGGACCTAAGAGGAAGCTGGAAATACACAATCTTAAAATTAGACTGGGAGCCCAAGAATTAGTATTCAAGGTTAAAAGGGTCAATGGCAATAATATTAAGGCTTGTTACATGTACGAGGCTTCCCTGGTGACTTTTTTTTTCTTTTATTATGTGTATGTAATGCCATGCCTCCAAGTACAGTGACCATCATAACATGAGACACCAGCCCAGGTGCTCTCTCAAAGGAACAGTCTGAAAGTTAGGGAAGTAAACAATACCTGACGCTGTCATCTGGTGAGTAAGACTCTGCCCAGCCTTGTGCTGCATGTTTCACATGGAAGGCAGAGAAGGTTTGGGAGGCAGTTCCCAGGTTCTGGTACTCTTGCTTCTGGGCTATGACAGCACTGTGTCTAGGAACTTATGACCTTGGTGATGGTGGGCTGAGGCCCCCATGGAAGAAAGAAATTGATCTTAAGCCTAGATAGCCCAGAGTTGAATGGAAGGAACTTACCTATAAGAGAGCTGTTTTTCTCTTCCTGCCTCTTTGTTGCTGCTGAAAGACAATTTTAAAAACTAGAGAGTTTTTAAACTAGAACTAGAGAGTTCCAGATCCATTTTTTCTCTTATTATAAGCAAGCAAAAGATATTTATTAATAATGATGATGTGACTTTCTATGTGGATTTGAGACCTATCTTATATCCATGTTAATCATTTTGAAGTTAATTTTTAAAATATTTTCTACTGATTCTTCTCTACCAAACTCTAAGGAATTGTTTTGTGCATGTGGTCCTCTGTTGATATTTCAGCCAGTGATCTGCTCTGCTGAAAAGGGCACTGATTCTCAAATCTCGGAATAGATTAGAAACATCTGTTCTCCCTCCTACAGGACTCTGCTCCCTGAGGTCAGAGTGGTACATGATGCTGTTGTCCTTCCTGTGATTCTCTCAGATTCCCTTTGAAGAAGTTGGCAGAAAATATTTGCAGATACTCTCTGGTGGATTTGTCATCCCTTTCCTATCATCTTCCTCCAAAACACAAAATCCATGGCAGAGGGAGATATCTTTGAGGGTAGTTTGGACAGCAAGAAGATGAAACCAGTCAATCCTAAAGGAAACCAACCCTGAATATTCATTGGAAGGATTCATGCTGAAGCCGAAGCCTTGGCCACCTGATGTGAAGAGCTGACTCATTGGAAAATATCCTGATGCTGGGAAAGATTGAATGCAGGAGAAGGGGATGACAGAGGATGAGGTGGTTGGATGGCATCACAGACTCAGTGGACATGAGTTTGAACAAACTCCAAGAGATAGTGAAGGACAGGGAAGCCTGGCATGCTGCAGTCCATGGGGTCGCAAAGAGTCAGACACAACTTAGCAACTGAATAACAACAGACCATCTATTGGGGTGACGACTCCTTCATCTGATGGGAAGAACACTGATTCTTTTTTATCTATAGAAGACACCCAATTTTGAAATGAATGAATGAAAGGGACAATTACCATTTTTGTGCCAGAATAAGAATTTATTAAGAGATTAACAAGGGATATTTATCACTTCTCCAAAGACCAAAAGAGTGACAAGGAAGATTTCTTCCAATTATGTTCAGTTTCATAGCTTCCCTACCAGCTCAATCATACTTAATGTAATTATTTAAAATCACAGATAAGTATATGTTAGAGCATAACACATTAGGCAAATATATCTTTGTGAGCATAGACATTACTTGATCCTGCTGTAGATTTCTTCATGGGACTCAGAAGACAGAGCCATTGGTGGACTTTGCAGCCTTTTGTGTTAAAGGATCTAACTGGGATTCAGTGGAAGCTGATGCTCGCTGAAGGCTGGTCCCAGAAGTAGAACTGAGATGTGACTTTGGAGCCCTTGACCTCTTGCTGGCACTGAGGCCTCTAGTGAACAAAGGTGTTGCAAGGTCCACACCGAGCACGTGAGACACAAGGATTGGAGATGCAGGGCCCGATGGGCCTTTCACAAGCGTTGGTGGTGGCACATGGGTTGCAGGGGAGCCTGGAGGCAGAACACCATTAGAGCATGTTACAGGAAAGTGAAATGAAGAGTTAGAAAGATATGAAACACATTTTGTATAAGAATATTGTATTGTTACTTCCTCTGAGTGCCTCCAGTCAAAAGCTTGAAACGGTAAGTTAATTTCCATCAGGAAGATCTTTCATCCTCATAGCAACCTCACGAGCCCCCAAGGAGAACATCACTAGCCTCCTACTCACTTGCAGTCCTCGCTCTCCAGCAGCCCCCGGTACGTGTTGATCTCACACTCCAGCCGGGCCCGCACATCCAGCAGCACCTGGTACTCCTGGTTCTGCCGCTCCAGGTCACTCCTGATCTCCGCCAGCTGTGACTCCACGTTGCCGATCAGGCCCTGCACCTGGGCCAGCTGGCAGCTGTAGCGGGCCTCCGTCTCCGTCAGGGTGTTCTCCAGGGAGTCTCTCTGTCAGGGGGAAAGGGGAGGAAGGTCACAGGGCTGCTCCTTCAGGGGCTTCTCCATCACTTCCAAATAAGTCACAAGCTCTAAGAGCTCAGGAGAGGGTGGCCTGGAGGGCATCCCAGTGCCCCTGACTCCCCGACCTCACCTCCTCACCAGGAGTCTCATCAATACCCACCAGGTTGTGCTGGGCCTGCAGTTCCACCTCCAGGGCATTGACCGTGCGTCTCAGCTCGATGATCTCTGCCTGGCAGGACTGCAGCTGCTCTGAGCTGGACACCACCTGCTTGTTCAGCTCCTCAGTCTGAAACATCGAAGGGCAGAAGACAGGATCAGACCCCGCCTAAAGGGCCCCAAGGGGCCGAGGGTCCTGGGAGACCACGTGCTGAGCTGCTCACCTGCCTGATGTACCATTCCTCCACGTCCCTGCGGTTGGTCTCCACCAAGGCCTCATACTGAGCCCTGGTCTCGTTGAGCACGCGGTTGAGGTCCACAGTGGGGGCGGCGTCCACCTCCACGTTAAGGCGGTCTCCCAGCTGGCTCCGCAGGGTGTTGACTTCCTGGTGGAGGAAGGGGACAATTCAAAGTGTTTCAGAAGATCCTGATGCTCTCTTCTGGAAGAGTGCAATTCCACTGGTGATTATTAAGCTTTTAGAAGCTCCATTCCCTCTGATCCTCTCATTAACTGGATTCTATATTCAGTGAGTAACCTGTGTCTTCTACTTTACAGAGTGCTTTCAAGTCCATGGCCTCTTTCCACCCTTTTACTCACTATACCACTCCTCACTTGGAGGTGCAGTGGTTTGGGCTGAGTTGACATGCACTAGACCATAATTTTAAAAGCCCAAACACCCAGTCCAGTGTTCTTGCCAGTATACCATATAGCCTATGGTTTGAATCTTAGCCACGAGTAATAAAATGGATAGAGTCCAGCTAAAGAGGAAACAAAGAATGCATACTTCTTAATCTGCCATCCTGGGAGAGAATAGACCTAACTGGTCATTTCTTGATTTCACTAGTTGAACTTTTGATAAAGGAAATAGTTATCTGCTCATTTCAAGGCTAATCTCTTCACAGACTCAACACAGCTTAGCGCTTGGGCTTGAGTGGGTGTCAGACAGATATAAATTGGATCTCATGCCTACCACTTTCTAGACTAGAAGCTTCTAGAAACCTCAGGTGCTTCATCTGTAAGATGAGAACTATCTCTGGAGTTCTAAAGCACTTAGCACAGTGTTTGGCACACAACAAAACTCAATTAATATTAACTATCACCATTTACATTGTTCTGGAATTTAAAATTTGCACAGAATATCTGTCTTCTTTATCATGCAACTAATCAAGCAATGATGTGAGTGCTTTTCAGTGAATAACAAAAGGAGATCTGAATGAGAAAAGAGAGTGGGGTTGTGTTTCCAGCTCAGCCCTCTCTACAGAGTGGTGTTGCTAGTGTCCCCAGTGACTAAATGAAGAAATGGGGTAAAAGATTTCTGTGGCCCCATGTGTTCCACCCTGGGAATGGAAGAGGCTGTGGGTGCTGCCTGGCTGTTGACCTTCCCTTATTACTGGGCTTGCAAACTTCCTTCACCCTCATTCTTGCTGCCAGCAGAAAAATCCTTGCTTCCTATCAGATGATTCATTCTCTACAAATCCCTTTTTGTTTAGAAAACAGATTCTTCAGCTAGTTGAGCCTCTCCCGCACCCCACGGTGGTTGGAAACAGGCCTCAGCAAGTTTGGTCCTGTTGGGGAGCTTCACCTGCTCGTGGTTCTGCTTGAGGCAGATCAGCTCCTCCTTCAGGGACTCCACCTGGGCCTCCAGGTCAGATTTGCACAGGGTCAGTTCATCCAGGATCCTACGCAGGCCATTCAGGTCTGCCTCCACCAGCTGCCTCAAGGACACCTCTGTCTCGTACCTGTGACGCAGAGATTCAGGGTCAGGCCTGGCCTTGACTCTAGTTTGGTTTGATTTGTCAGACATCTGGGAGTTGGGGCTTGTGGTTTTTACAGCCATCTCGTTGACTCAAGTTTTCAACATGGAGCCAAAGCTCCCGGAGGAAAAGGCACTGATAAGAATTGATGCCTTTGAACTGTGGTGCTATAGAAGACTCTTGAGAGTCCCTTGGACTGCAAGGAGATCAAACCAGTCAATCCTAAAGGAAATCAACCTTGAATACTCATTGGAAGGACTGGTGCTGAAGCTGAAGCTCCAGTATTTTGGTCACCTGATGCGAACAGCCAGTTCATTGGAAAAGTCCCTGATGTTAGGAAAGACTGAGGGCAGAAGGAGAAGAAGGCATCAGAGGATGAGAAAACTGGATAGCATCACCAACTCAATGGACATGAGTTTGAGCAAGCTCTGGGAGTTGGTGATAGAAAAGGAAGCCTGGTATGCTGCAGTCCATGGGGTTGCAAAGAGTCAGTCATAACCGAGCAACTGAACTGACTCATTGGAAGGACTGATGCTGAAGCTGAAGCTCCAGTATTCTGGTCACCTGATGTGAACAGCTGATTCATTGGAAAAGTCCCCGGTGCTGGGAAAGATTGAGGGCAGAAGGAGACGAGGGCATCAGAGGATGAGATGGCTGGATGGCATCACCAATGCAATGGACATGAACTTGGGCAAACTCCAGGAGATGGTAAGGGACAGGGAGGCCTGGTGTGCTGCTTCCCCTGGGGTCACAGAGTTGGACACGACTGGGTGACTGCACAAAAATAAGTATTTTCTAATAAATGAAAAGACAGTGGATTTAATGGGATAAAAGCCCATAAACCATGAGATTTCCAAAAGTAATACACTTCCTCCAGTCTCCTAATTGGATTCTGTGCTTAGCAGAGCATCAGAGGACCATGACTTCTACACTGGATGGGATTCAAAGATGTCCTCTGAAAAGAAAGCAGGCAAGGAGTCTGACTCTGGAGAAGAGTTGTCCGAGTTCTGGTTAGCAAAAGTTTGTCAGTGTTTATTGGTATAGAAAACAGGCTAAGAGGAAAGAGAGCAAAGAGGCAAGACAACAGCCCCCTTGCCCACTCACTTGGTCCTGAAGTCATCTGAGGCCAGCTTGGCATTGTCAATCTGTACCACCAACCTGGCGTTCTCAGACTTGCTGCACAGGATCTAGAAGACCCAAAACATTCTAGAATGAGCTTGGTTATCTTTATCTAACAGCATCCCTACTAATTCACTTACATGGAAGAAACAGAATGAGAAATCACAGTGGATCTTATATAAGATTATTGCCCATGTGCAATAGTTGCTCAATATTAGAGAACTCAAACTTGAGGGGAGGAAGAATGCAGACATATGCCAGAAAAGTATCAGTACATACACAGTTTTTCCTTTTCTTTCCTAATAAGAAATACTGAGAAGCTGACAATAATAATAACTAACATTTCTCTTTAAAAACCTACTCTATGTCTGGCATGGTTGCAGGAGCTAAAGATACAAAAATGAGTGAGCACTAAATTTTGCCCTCAAGAAACTTCCAATTCAATGGAGAAGATCAATATATCAACTAGCAATTGGAGGGGGTTGAGTCAGAGACAGAGCTATGTGCGCCCAGCCATCCTGGATAGCTGGGTCCTCCCAAGGAGTTTATACGTTTTCTTGTTCTAATCAACTATTCTATGCCCTCACTGGGCACTGTGCACCAGGAGACGCCCAGAGGCTTCTAGGTCAAGATGATGGGGTCAGGATAATTAAGTACCCAGAAGAGGACATCAACAAGAGGTCAGAGCAGCCAAAAGCCCAGATAAGGGAGAACGAATTTGGCCCAGTCCTTACAAAAAGTCTCGCTTTCTCAGCTTCCTTCTTGGGCTCAGTCTTTTCTCTCACCTCAGGGTAATGGCAAATACACAGAAGCATTCAGAGGCAGGTTTTAATTACAGTTTATTTATGCAAAGTGCTGCTACCTCCACAAAGACTAACACTATGCAAATACTTAGATCTAACAGTCCTGGTTCTAAAACGAACCCTCAGGAAAACAGAATGAAAAAGCAAGATGGCAATCGAATAGCTTATATTGTTCCTTAACCATATCTCGGATTCTCTCCCTACAACTTCCTGCTGAAGGCAATGGAGTGCCCACCCCCTCACCTTCTGCTGGAGCTCCTCGATGGTCTGGAAGTAGGACTGGTAGTTGGGGCACACGAGGGGCTCCTGCTGCTGGCTCCGCTCCAGGATGCGGCTCTCCAGCTCCGCGTTCTCCCGCTCCAGCTGCCGCACCTTCTCCAGGTAGCTGGCCAGCCGGTCGTTCAGGAACTGCATGGTCTCCTTCTCGTTGCCGTTGAAGGAGCCCTCGCAGAACCAGTTGCAGCTGCCCACATTGGCGGGGATGTTGCAGGCCCCGGGCAGGGTGGTGCCACAGCAGCTGGAGGGCACGCAGGGCCTGGAGGAGCAGCTGGAGCGGAAGCTCAGGTTGGGCAGACAGAAGTTGTAAGACATGGTGCTGGAGGGAGAGAGGTGCCCGACTGAACACAGAGTCCAAGTTCACCAAGTCACAGAGTTGTGGGTCCCCCTCCTCTTGGGAGCATTTATACTTGCTCTGCAGAGGGTGTGGATGTGGAAGA